GTGGAATAACTGTTTCACCAGATTTCTTAATAAAGACAATGGTTTTTTACAAGGTTAAATGATTCCACCCCGCAACGAATCTCTAAGGTTAGAGGTGTAAATGTTTTATTCAGGTTGCTTACTCTTTAAACTTTAGTTGTGTGACTTTAAATACTATTTCTCTTATTGAGTTTGCATAGAATTTCTCCCTAATCCGTGCCTCCTAGTTGTGGAAATTGATGGTTTGTTCTCTGAGTTATCTCTTGAAGTCCAATTAGGACTAGATCCAGATCCTTGATAATACTCTAGGACATAATTCGAGCGTAATAGTTACTCTGCACTTTGATGAAGTTCCCTGTAAGGATCCTATTTTGTACTTTATTGTTGTCTTATGGCTTTTATATAAGGGATTAAACTTAGATTGTTGTAAAAGATTTCCAAATTCCACTTCAATGTTAAAAATTTTATTTTTTGCACTCGTAATTACTTAAGTAGTTGGCTCCCTTTTACCGATTAGGTATCTGGGACGCCAAAGGAATCAACCTTAAAGAGTCCTACACCTTAAGGACCCTACGCCACTCATACTTAAAGGAGTTTTATCCTCTTTTTACTAGTAAACAATAAGCCAAAAAGAGTCCTCAAAGTTATGAATAGCTTGGATTTACAAATGGGAAATTTTCTCTCACTTCAAAGAAATTTTCTCCTAATTTTTCTCATCACAAACGACCAACCCTTCAAAAAAACTTTTCTCATTTTCCAACTCTTCTTCCAAGAGTCTTAGTTGAGTTCTCTCATCTAAAAGGAGGTCAAAAAATATGTAGAGAATTCTAGATTTTCTTATAGATTTTTTCATGGAAAATGAATTGTTTTCTACTTCAACTTTCAAGCTTTTGAAACATCTTTAACTCAATTTCTACCACAAGAATTAATTAAATAATGAAGACTAAATCCAAGTCAAATAAAGCATGGAGAATTTTGCCATAACACTAACACTTATCAAGAGAGAAGAATTTTATTTTAATTATGTTTATACTTTTTTAAATTAATATTTTATTAAAATCCTAGATAAAAATGTAATTACAGTTTTTCTAGGATTTAGTTTTTGAATTCTAGTAGAATTAGTCAGGCATCTGCCTATATAAAGGCCTTACTGCTTTGGTTGTAAAAACATCGAAGTTTGATGAGATCAATAAAATTAAACTTTTAGTGTTGATTAGTTGTTGTTGCCTAAGTTGCTCTTTAAGAAGGTCTCATCAATCTTTTTGTTGAGTATGGAATTGATGTCTACTTATCAAGGTAACTTATGACATTTTTATTAATATTTTTTCTTAAGTTGATTTTAACTTATCAAAATATTTCTTATAATATTCTAATCAATTCAATTTATCACAATTATCTTAGTTCTCAATCACATATTGATTGTAGGTTAAGTAGGGATGGTTTATTAGAGATTTAGTTATTTGCATGCTAACATTATATGTGGAGTTTTGGATTACATTGTTGATCCTAGATTTCGCATAATTTGGTACTAAAGTTTATATATTAGATAGATCTTACTATTTTGCATAATCTATCCTTGCATATTTGTTAGTCTTGCATCAGTTATCCTTTTATATATCTTTACATCCATTCATACCCATCATATAAACAAAAATTTTAAAAAATCATATTTATATTGTTTTTTTTGTACTCTAAGCTTCTTTCTTTTTGTTGAGCTTTCCTTCTATTACATCATTAAGTAAATAATCGCTTCTAGTTACTTAACCTCACACATAAACACACACCATCTTCACATATGTGTTTATTGCATCTAGAATTGTTTTATAATTTTCTTTCCATAAGATTCCTTGAAGTGTCCTGAAATGAAGCCTGATTACCTTGGTTCAAGTGAAATCAATTCTGGTAGTCAACTTGAGGGAAGAAGATTGAGAGAGTGTGTGAAATACAAGAGTGAAACATATGAGGGAGTGTTATTTTCTAATCTTTCTTGTAGGATTCTAAGAAAGGAGAGTTGATTAAACCACTGCAAAGAGAATGTTTGATTCGAGGATGAATCAGTTTGAAGAAGTGGAGAATGATACGAGCAAAAGGACGACAATTCATTAGAATCAAGCTTAAAGAGTCTACACCTTAAACATTCTAAGCCACTCATCCTTAAAGAGTTTTATCCTCCTCCAGCTCATCAAAACCAAGCCAAAAGGAGTCCTCAAAATGTATGAACAACTTGGATTTTCATATGAGAAATTTTGTCTCACTCAAGAGAAATTTTCTCCTAATTTTTCTCATCATAAGCAACCAACTCTTCACAAGAATTTTTCTTCTTTTCCAACTCTTTTTCTAAAAGTATTAGTCAAGTTCTCTCATCAAAAAGGAGGAGGAAAAATATGTAGAGAATCCTAGATTTTTTCTTGGATTTTCTACTAGATTTTCTTATGGAAGAGAAATTGTTTTCTACTTCAACTTGAAAGCTTCTAAAACATCTTCAAATCAACCACCACAAGAATTAATTAACCAATGAATACCAAATCTAAGTCAAATAAAAGCATGGAGAATTCGACCACAATGCTAACACTTATCAAGAAAAAAGACTTTTATTTTAATTATGTTTATGCTTCTTTAAATTAATATTATATTAGAATCTTATTAAGAATGTAATTAGAGTTTTTCTAGAATTTAGTTTTTGAATTCTATTAGAATTAGTAAGGCTTATGCCTATATAAAGTCCTTACCCATTTGGTTGTAAAATGGTAGAAGTTTAAGGAGATTTCTTCAACCATATTGTTGAGTGAAAAATTAATGTCTATTTATCAAGGTAATTTGTGTTGTTTTCATTAATATTTTTTTTTGAATTAATTTTAACTTAGCAAAATATTATATCGTTTTAGTCAATTTATTTTATCTCAATTATCTTAATTCTCAATCACAGGTTGATTATCGGTTAAATAGGAATGATTTATTAGAAATTTAAGTTCTCTATATACTAATGTTACATTTGAGATTTAGATCGTATTATTAATCCTAGGTTTCACATCAATTTGGCTATAAAGGAATGAAAAAACCTAATCGAGGGACAATCAAGGGACAAATGCTTTTGTCTAACTACCAAACAAATGTGACACACATCATGAGGAACATAGCATCTAGTAATTGAGGTGTTAACTACCGAATTGGTTGTATTTTACCTTGATTATAAACATTATAAATAAGATAGGTTATTACATGTTATAATCTAGAGAATGAGAGATTTACATATTCATTATATTCTTTTTTTGTTAATAAATAAATGTTATATATTTTTTTTTGTAAATTCACATCTATACTTTTTTTTTTCTTGTATGCTTGCTATTTGATTATCAACTTGTCTTTAATGTCTGAATTGATTTAAACTAACCTTAAATAAGATCGATACCATTATAGGTCTAACTTATGCATGGTAAACTCCACTTTGGTATTGTATACAAGCCTATTCCATATAGGATTGGATTTATGTGCATCACATGCCTGTTGCATGTTTAAATGTGTAGCTTGACTAAAGAGACTAATTGCACAGAGGTATAACGATTTTCCCTTGAATACGTTTTGCATAAATAGTAAAATGCTAAAATATCAATTAAGGAGACTCGAAGGTCACTTCCCCTATATTGGAAATTATTGGGGCTAAAATTCAATTAGGATAATGATATTAACAAATGGCAATCAATCCAAGGCGGCGAATTTTCGTGCTTGGACACGTGAGGAAGTGATCCCGTTGGTATTTGGGGCCTTTCCCCTTTTCCCAACTTCAGTTGTTTTCTCATTCAAAATCCTCACTTCACATTCTTCTGCCTGAAAGGAAGAGCTTCCCATTGCTACCACTATGGCCGATGATGGTTTGTCCTCTCATAGGAGAGACCCAATCAAGACTTCAGGTTTGTTCTCGTCAATCACTAGGTCTTTGTACTTGAACTAATAATGATCTGTTTGTGTTTCGACCAAAATTTGGTATCGAATTAATGAAATGGAAGGAGAGTTTGAGGTATTGTGCTTGATAATATTTTGGATTATCTGTCAATAGTTCAACTAGACTCCGTAATCAGGTCCATTTTTCATTGGATATAACTAATGTAATTTTCGATGATGGATAATTGCTTTAAGTGCGTGTTTATTGTAATGTTAATCGTGCATGTGCTTTCTAGTGGGGAACCTTGCAGCTCAGAGACGGCGGCAGCACGCGGTTACTGTCAGGAAAGAAAGAAGAGATTCATTAGTGCAGGCAAAGCGTCTTTGCAGAGTTGGGACTAGTGGCGATTGCGATTATCCCGTGGATAATGATATGATAATTGATGAAGAGCCGTCGATTCTCGAGGCTCAAACCATTTCTGCAGTAGAAGAACTAAAGTCTGCTGTTGCCTATCAGTATGTAAATCCTATGAATTTCTCTACGGACAAACATGAAAAGGTTTATTTATTTGTTTACGATCTTCCCTTATATTTAAGTATTAAATATTGTATGTGATTTATATGTAGAATATTTCCCTTAACTATTTTATCTTCTCCCGATTTTTATGCCAACCTGCTTATCATTAAGTGATTTATTTGTAAGCAAACAAGTCCAAGATTCTTACAGGTTTTGGATATTATCAATGTGATCATTTGTGCCTTCTCATTTATGGGTTTATAGCTTAAAACGAACTTTACATAGTTTGACATTTTTAGGGAAGATTAATGCTGTTGCAATGTGGAGGTGGGGAAGAATTGACACGTGTGCACAAAATTAGATGGAGGTTGCAGTGTCATTAAGACTTAAGTGGTTTTACTTTCTGACAGATTTTTTGTTTTTTTGTGAAGTGCTTTTTTCTCTTGTGGAACAGAAAAGTTAGCCATGAGCTGTGTAATATCTTGTGTTCAATTGTTATTCCCCCCTAATTTGTGCATTAGATTGTTCATTTGCTTTGATTCTCATCAGGGGCTTGACCTTATAGTCCTTAAAACTATCCTTAAAAAGGAAAAAGAAATTTTACCTAACTCATCTTTATTGCTTAATTGTTAGAGGAAGAGGCGCAATGCAGAAGCGGGTGAGTGCGCTTCGTGAACTAAGGCGTCTATTATCGATGTCCGAGTTTCCTCCAGTTGAAGCTGCGCTTAAAGCTGGAGCAATATCAATACTTGTGCAGTGTCTTTCTTTTGGCTCTCCTGATGAGCAGGTCTGGGAAACTGAGTTCGTTTTGTGATTCTGCTGCTCCATTTAAAAAAATCTCTTGTACATGCAAGCATAAAAAATTATCTTAGTGCTTGGTTATGCAAACTTGGTATTTGTTTAGCCCTTGAAAGAGAAGCAAGGGGGACTATTTTGCTTTTCACTGATTGGCTCTGAATTCTAGTTTCCTGATCAATAAACTTTTCCAGTTACAAGTTTTTTCAAAATGTCTTTATTGAAATTATATTGTTATCTAATCTTTGATGGTATACTTCACATGTAACAATAATACATCTTACAGATAAATTTTTTGGTAAGCCACGTGAAAGATAAACTGAAAACTTATCGAAGAAATATCTCACTTCTTTTTTGTTTGTAATATTGCAGTTGCTTGAGGCTGCTTGGTGCCTCACAAACATTGCAGCAGGAAAACCAGAAGAAACAAAAGCTTTGTTGCCTGCATTGCCACTGCTCATTGCTCACCTTGGAGGTCAGTTATGACCTCTACTTATTTGACATAAATTATTTTGCTCCAGCTTGTTGCACTTTTAGTATTTCAATAAGGTAAATAGTTTCCTTGACCGTCAAATTGCACTTTTAACTAATAGTTGAATCCCTGAACTATGGGAACTTTATTACACTTTCTCTGATCTGCTCCATTCTCTATTTCTTCTTTTTATATTATGTATGATCTTTCTTCCCTTTTGTTTGCTTTCTTCAGTTTATCAGGTGATTATCTTTTTGTTGTACAGAAAAGAGTTCTGTGCCTGTAGCTGAGCAGTGTTCATGGGCCTTGGGAAATGTTGCTGGTGAAGGAGAGGATCTAAGAAATGTTTTGCTATCCCAAGGGGCCTTACTACCCCTTGCAAGAATGATGCTGCCTAACAAAGGTTCAACAGTGAGAACAGCTGCTTGGGCTTTGTCAAACCTAATCAAGGTTTTAAGCTTTCTTGTTTCATTTATTATGTTTGTGTGTCCTTAAATTTTATTTACTATGTAACTTCGGCATGCTACATGTAGGGCCCCGATCCTAAAGCAGCAGTGGAGCTAATGAAGGTTGATGGGGTACTTGATGCAATCATTCGACACTTGAAGAAAGCGTGAGTTAATTTTTGTGTCTGCAGATTTTGCTTAAAAGATCTCTTGACTATCTTGCAAAGCTTTTTTTTTTTTTTTTCCTTTTTTCCCTTAGGGTTAATCTTCCATTTCCATTGTAACCATGTGGAAGAGGAAAGATGACCTAATCTGCTTGTCTCCGACAAGGGTATTTTATGGTTTGAGTCAAATATTGTCTTTGTAGGTCTTCATGCTTGCATACTTGCATATAGAGACCATTTAAATTAAAGTGCACGTTATTTTTTAAACTGTAGTAGTTTCAGATAAATAAATTTGTTGCGTACCGGGAACAATAAGTTATATTAGTTGAAACCTGTTGCTGGGAGAGAGAGAGGGTTGGTGCCAATTTATTTTTGTATCAGCTGCTTCTCTTATTACCCGTGTAGCACTATTTTTAAAGATGGACCCGTCTATCAATTGCTTCCTGGAAGATTCATAAAATGAATCTGAGTTTTAAGTGAAAAAATTTATAAATAACATAGTGGATCTTTCTGTTCTGAGGATTTATATTAACTTGGTGGTCAAACTATAAGTGAAGGAAAAAAAATAACCTGCTGCTGAGACCAGATATGGATTTTGTACTGTTGATCTTCTTCAGAGTTTATTATCCTTGAGATTTGTTGTCCGTGAAAAATTCATATGATTTTTAGTTCCAACAATGCTGAACATGGCTAGTGGTTAACATGCTGGTTTTATCACTTTAGTTTAACATGTTCTCCATGCTATAATTTACGTTGTTAATCGTGATATTCAGTAATCGTGTGCCCTGCAGTAAAGTTTTTGTTCTTAAATTAAAAAATTTACCCTGGAAAATATTTTGTTGAGACTGAAGGGTCGGTTTACTTGTCAAATTCAGGGATGAGGATCTTGCAACTGAAGTAGCATGGGTAGTTGTATATCTGTCAGCTCTTTCAAACCTTGGTTCAAGTTTGCTGGTGAAGAGAGACATTCTTCAAATCCTTGTGGAAAGATTGGAGACGTCCAATAGCTTGCAATTACTCATTCCGGTAAAATAAAAAACGTTAAGCTCTATATGTCCTGCCTCTTGGGACTAAATGTTGGTGACCTCCTAATTTACCTGCTAGTGGGTGTTTAGTATCTCATCCTGAAATTCACCCTCTTAATAATGGCACTAGTTTTTCTATGCGGCTATGGTTGGGAACAAAACGGAGCTGTGCGGAAAAGTAACTAATTTTTTTGCAAATTGGCATATTTTGTAATCCATATACTAATTTGATTGTAACCTTTTACAATTTGTAATTTCATGTTTTAGAATTTCTATTGCCTCATCTTGACCTTTTTAACAAATCATTTTTTCTTCTAGGTGCTGAGAACTTTAGGTAATCTTGTGGCCGGTGATTCACATACAATTTCTGCTATTCTTATTCCAGGACATGAAATTACAGGCCAGTGATTATACTAATACATACAAGATCTTGTGATTGTCATCTCATATTTTATTGAGACATTCAGTATTTATACCTACAAATTTATATACACATTGACATTTTTAATCACATTTCAGATAATATCATAATGGTCCTAATAAAATGTTTGAAATGTGAGCACAGGGTATTGAAAAAGGTGAGCAAGTGTGTCTCCATTGTTTCGAGGTTCACTTCCAGCACCTATTTTTATTAAATTTATCCCATTTTGCAGGAAGCAGCTTGGGTGTTGTCTAATATTGCTGCTGGTTCCATTGAACAGAAACAGTTGATATATTGTAGTGAGGTGGTGCCTTTGGCGTTACGCTTTCTTTCAACAGCACCATTTGACATAAGAAAGGAAGTGGCATATGTTTTAGGAAATCTCTGTGTTGCTCCAGCCACAGGAGATGGGAAGCCAACTTTGGTTCTAGATCACTTGGTTTCCCTTGTTGGCAGAGGATGCCTTTCAGGTTTCATTGACTTGGTTAGGTCTGCCGATATTGAGGCTGCTCGATTAGGTCTTCAGTTCATAGAACTGGTAAGTAAATTTGATGATCGAAGTGCTGGTTCATTCTGTGTTGCACAATTCAGGTGTGTTTTTATGTTGCCTATAGCAAGATTCTTTTTTTCTCCTCCCCTAAAACCACTATAAATTAAGAAACTAACTCATAATTAATGGAGAAATTTTATTTATGGTGCTTGGCTTTGGCCCTCATCTGTGGCAAAATGTCATGTTAGCAGTGCTCCTCACCTCCAGTTAAAAATGAATAACTGAACTGAAAATTTGAGTATGATTTGATTTTGTTTTAGTTGAAACTTTGGTTGAAATCTAAACCTGTGTTTCGTATAAACAACTCTAGCATCTAGGCATTTCATTTAAACAATTCTAAGATTTGAGTTTGACTCGATAGTAATATTAATCTTCAACAAGCTTGAAATTTGTTTATGTAAGAAGTAAACAAATGTATATACAATGTAGATATATAAGATATGTGCACAAATTTATGTATTATGTAAATGTAAGTAAATATTTATAATATGTAAGTATTAAATAATTTGTGCATGTAGGTTCTTAGAGGGATGCCAAATGGTGAGGGTCCAAAGCTTGTTGAAGGAGAGGATGGAATTGATGCAATGGAGAGATTTCAATTTCATGAAAATCAGGATCTGAGAACCATGGCGAACAGTTTAGTTGATAAATACTTTGGGGAGGACTATGGTGCGGATGAGTAGCTGAGGATAGTATACTTTCTGATAACTCCTCTTTTTTCTTCCATTTTTAATTTGTTGCATTGTCAGCCCATCCTTGTGGGAAGTAGTTTATTCGTTGCCTTGTTGGCGATCTTTACGGGAAGTCGTCATGAACCATTTGATGATAATCGCCATTTTGTGGCCAAACTGTGAATTGGTTTGTTAAAGGTTGATATAAAAAATTCCGTAGGATGTTTGACACCATGCAATTAGGTATTTGTTGTTCATGGTGTCATGGGATGTTTTGGCACGGTGTTACTAAGCAATTGTTCATGATGCCTTTGTAAATTTTGATGTGTGCCTTTTTTTCCCCTTTCTTATGATGAGTGTTTCGATATATTTTCTCCCATTGCTTCAGATGGAAACGCTAGTCAACCAAGCTGACAAGCAGTCCAGTTGATATTCTGTCAGTCGACTTGGAGTGGTTAATAAAACTAATGTCTCACTTAGCAGATGTAACAGGGATATGTACTGAAGTTTGACTTAGCTGGTGATAATGGATCCTTGGTTAAAGGTTGAGGTTGAAATCAGTTCTCCATTGGTGCGAGTCTCGTTAACTCCCAAGACTGGTTATTCCAATTACTTGGTGCAAGTTAAATATGAAAAATCTGCTAATTTCAGTTAATGCAGCAGTATTCAAAATTGCATTTTCTTTATAATGTTTCTCTGCTGAAGCTGTATTGGCAATGGCTACAAACAGACAATGCTACAAATTATTAGATTTTGCTGGCTTGGTAGTGAACAGCTTACAAAGTCTTCCCAGAAAGGATTGAGGAAGAAGAACTTGTAGAAATTGTTTATCCAAAAAGTGTATCTGGTGTGACTTCCTAATTTCCAAAAAATTTTCATAAGGCACAAAAATAACTTAATAATTTTAACCAATCATTAAGGTACAAATTTTACTCAAAATTTGAGTGGAAATGACCTAAAAACATATACAGCTAAGCTCTAAGAGAACGTAAGTTTTACTAATTAAAGTCTCGTTTTCGGCTTAATATTTATTTAGGGCTTCAAATTCATCTTTTAACAGAGCCAGCCCAAATTTGGCCCGGGTTGCTCCATGTGCAATAGTATACAATAAAGGTTTTTTTTTTTTCAAAATTTATTTATATTTTTACTAATTATTAAGATACAAATTTTACAGGTTTTAAGCCCGAAGGAGGAGCAAGAATAGGAAGACAACTTCACTCAGCAACGCTGGAACAAAATCCTTGTGCCCTTCCCGGTCTAAACCCGCCGTCACGCAGATCTTCTTCTCCTTCACAGAATATCTTTGTCGTCTTCAACAATGGAGAAAGGTTCTTCCTTTCTCTTTGCTGGCACCAACTTCAACAAGAAGAAGTTCGCCGCTGATTTTAGTAGGTTTAAGGTCAGATTGTCTCCTCCTTGGTCTGTTTGGAAAGTTTATCCTGATTACTTCTCTTGAGATCCTAATTCTCTACTTTCTAATCCTACGATTTTATTATTATTTTAATCAGGAGAAAAAGGAAAACGATTACACAACAAATGAATTAAGCTTGTTCGAGATAGAAAAATCTGCAACAGAAGAATTACCCGTGCCCGTCAAGAAGAGAAAACGAAAATCAAAAGTTTCAGGTATCTTGCATGATTGTATGCGGTTGAAGTTGCTAGACATACTAAAAGCTTAGTTCGTGTTTTTCTGTTTTTGGTGTTTGTATTGATGTCTACGTTTGGTTTTTAAATAAGAACCGG